TATTAATGGGTATCCGTTAGCTGTACTAAATTTAGTACAAAAGACTTAATTTAGTACAGTTTTAAAATGACGATAAAACAAAAAGCATGACAACCTGTCACATGAAACTTTGTACAACATATCTATAGCTCATCAAGAGTCTACTTGTACAATTTGAATACCCTTTATAAGTAAAAATCACATGATAAATTATTATACGTGCATACGAACCTGCATCAAACTTGTATTACTAATCGATTGTGTAACTTGATCAATAAAACCTCTTTTCGCCATATTGAGTCGTTCAAAAATCTGTAATATGATATTTACGAATTGAAGAAAGAGTGTTTTTAAAAAATAAGTATGTGTTCCTTTTTTTTTTTTTTTTTATTATTTTTTTTTTTTTATTTTTTTTCTTTATGTTTTATACTATTAGACTAAAAATCCTATTTGTACGTGCTTTATACTATCAGATAACAGTTTTTTAATACTTACTGGCAATATATAAGTCGATACTTTGTTACGCCGTGTTCAAATATAATACTAGTTACGGTCAAAGAGCTGTAATGCTATGGTCAAAAAGCTGTAATGTTATGCGAATTAAATGAAATAATTTTATAAAAATTAAAAAGGTATATTATTTAAATACCTTTTTTTTTTTTGAATAAATCATATAAGATTAAAATTTCTTATATAATTTTTGATAGTCCTTTTCACCTAAATCATACACAGTGCAATATTGCAATTAAACTTGTATCCGAATTATACTCAATGAAACTTTATATAAATGTGACTTTTTTTTTCCTTTTTTTTTGAGATTATATAACTTATCGCTATCTAATTACATATCTAGTTTTACATACCTGATTTTTATTATTATTATATTAAACAATAACTGACAATATCGATATATTATCAGCTTAATTTATTATTTTGCATATATACATACCATGCCAAGAATTTCAAGTAAAATAATTATTGGAGAGCGGGTTAGTTGCAAAGCAACTGCATTGCCAAAGGATATTATTACGCTACACTTACAACAAAGTAATGAGAATTTAAAAAATTTACGCCTTTATGGTTTAGTTGTTGGTGCATTAACAGGAACACGTCAAAAAAAAATTCAAATAAAGTTTGATAATATTGGTGATGGAAATTTGGTGGTGGATGTTCTTGCTGGAAATTTACGCTATGAAAAACAAACTAGTGAGGTTGCAGAACAATCAACAGTTCAGATTGAACTTTCAGAATCTAGTGAAAGTAGTTTAGACGAAGAAGACTATTCTAGTGATATTAGTGAAGTAGATCTTACTACAACACCTAGATGGAACGAACAACCAATCACTATTGATCAACGGGCAGTTAATTCAACATATAACCAGCCATGTAAAATTAATATTCCATCAGTTAGTTTAGCTTCACCTTATACTATATTTAGCCGGTATCTTCCTATGAATTATATTGAACAAAATATTATTCATTCTATTAACTTACTTGGAAGAAAGAACTCAAATTGGGTCGATGTGACTATTAATGAATATATAACATGGTTAGGACTTTGGGTGCTAATGTCTGTTGTTCCTGTAAGTGATCGTCGTTATTATTGGAGAACACAAGAAAATACTCAACCATTATTACCATTTAATTTTCAACGTTGGATGGGTCTTTTACGCTTTGAACAAATAGTATCACAACATACATTAATGATGCCACATGAATTGGAAATAACTTATCATAATGATCCCTTATTTTCAGTTCGTAGTTTTGTTAATGCATTTAATACCAATTTAATTGAGGCTATTATTCCTGGAAGTGTATTATGTGTTGATGAGTCTATGAACTCATGGTTAGGCAAAAAAAATAAGATCCCAGGTCGGCGCAAAATACCACGAAAACCACATCCTGTAGGACAAGAGTGGAAAGTTCTTTGCGATGGTTTTACGAATATAGTTATTCAACTAGAACCTTGTGAAGACAAAGATATTGAAAAAAACAAACGTTATGTTTCAGAATATGGTAGTACCGCAGGGTATGTGTTACGATTAACACAACCATGGTTTAGTAGCGGACGAACCATAGTTGGTGATAGTTGGTTTGGTTCTCCAAAACTTTGCATAGTATTAATGCAAAATGGCTTATATAGTATTTTTCATGTAAAAAAAAGACATTCATGGCCTATTAATTATCCTGATGATATGGTTCATATATATCAAAAATTACAACAATTAATAATGTTCAATTAATAACAGCATCTTTGCGAGATAGAAAACCACAATGTATAATTGCAACAGCATCAACAACAGTTAATGCTGATGAAGTAGAACGTGTAGTTAAAAATAATACTGGTTCAGAAGTTGTTAAATTTACAAGACCAAAGGTTTTTTATGAATATTCACAAGCAAAAGGAGCCGTTGATATTAATAACCAGGTGTGTTAACCTTTATATAGTATTTATCTATATATATATAATATTTTTATTATATTATTAGGTGCGCGATAATATGACTTCTTTTCATGATATAATGCGAGGATCAAGTTGGCAGATGCAGATATTTTCTTTTTTATTAGGAGTTGCAGAGGCTAATGCTTTTCTTACATATAAAAAATGGCATGAAGAAGCATATGAGCTTTCGCATTTTGATTTTAGAAGAGAATTAGCACACAAAATGCTTAGTAGAAATTATAATACAACTGAAAATTTACAAGGTAAAAAGCGAGTAAAAACATCCGAATTACTACACAACTTAGTTACATTTCCTAAAAAAGGAAAAAGAAATGGTAAAACAAATTATCCACAGTTGCGTTGTAAGTACTGTAGTTCAAGAACAAGATACTATTGTGTTTGTAATACCTCAAAAGCTGTATGTATTAAATGCTTTAGCAAACATCTTTTAAATTTTTAAAAAATATATGAAAATAAAAAACAGATCTTGACCTATTTGTGATTAATTTTTTTTTTGCTGTTATTATATATATTTCTAAAATATTTAAAAAATTTTACTGTACTAAATTTAGTATAGCAAAAAAGTTCATAAATTTTTTTTACTTAAATTTAATTTATATGAAATTTAGTATATAAATACTATTTGATTTTTTGCATAAATAAAATATTGGATTTACTTTATATTTTAGCAAAATATAAATAAAATTAATTGTATCGTTATTGAGTTATAATTTTTGTAAATCGTACTAAATTTAGTACAGATGGCTAACGGATACCCATTAAT